AAAATATAGAGAAGCTGGAAAAAGACCTGATAAAAGAGTACCTTCTATTTCTATGCTAAATCTTTTCAGTAGTTTCAGAATCTCAAATTCTAAAAAATAAACTAACATCAACATCTTTTTATTGAACAATCTCATATATATTTTTGCTCCCATCAGTTCAGTTTTGTTTTCCCTTGTTCCTATCAGTTCTTAATGTTTTTCCTCCATCGCAAGCTAATATTTTGAGCATGAATTTAGCCTCTTGACCTGTTTTCCCTGTCTCCTTCTGTAAACAATTTTTTTAAACATCTAGCTTCCCTTTGTAACGTCACTTCCGCCTCCTCCTTAGCAAAGCAAGATGGCGGCCGTCGTAGACAGAGTTGATGGATGTGTTGGGTCGTTGGACTCAGTCGCGGTGTCACCGAGGCAGTCGACCCCTCCGCCGGACCAGCCGCACCAGAACAACCCGCTGTTAGGGCTGCCCATTGTGGCCATTGAGACGATTCTCAATTTCCTGTCTTACGATGAAATCAGCCTGCTGCGCTCGGTAAGGAGAACAAAAACAAGCCAGCTAGAAAGGGAACAAAGCTAATGCTAGCCACATGCACTGCTTATCTTTGGAGACTAGTTTTGTTAAATAGTAATTGTGGCTTGCGTGTAAAGCCGCTGTTTAATGTCTGCGGAGCCGTCTAATTGCAGCCGTGGCCCGCAGTGCTCATTGTGCTGTTATCTAATTAGCAGGGCAGCCTAGCTAAGCAGACCGGAATAACGTTACACGACACACCACGAACCCCTAAATATGAATGTCTATAAGAGGAAGGATGAATCAGATCAGGGCTCTGGGTGTGTTTTACTCCCGTATAGATATTCCTGCGCTTCAGACATTGTAATTTGTTGAGGTTAGCTGGAAATCACTTATTAGCCAGTGTCCACTGCAGCTCCTCCAACAGTCCTTTAACTTAAAGCTCCTCTCCAGTCAGAAACCAGTGTTTGTTCCTGTCCCTACAGTGCTGTTTGAATCTGTCTGTGCATTTTCTAAAATTTTGTCATTGTAAAAAAATCAATAACCGCAAATCAGGTTTCCAAAATGCCGATAGGCCGTGGTTCATTACAGTGGAGACCCACACTGACACCACAATGTGGAAGTGGCATAAAGATACACGCCCCTTAGCAAGACTGAAGCTGCCACCATAAATGTATGTGCTAGCATGTACTAGTGGACTGCAACACCTTACATTAGCGGCTGTATACACTTGAAGAAATGGGCAGCGACCTTCCGACATACAATCTGAACCAAAACCACTAGCCGTGATTCAACTTTCCAGACTATTTGCGCAGGAGACTAAGCAGCAAACTCTACACATCCAGAAAACTTAACTGATTAATAATCCCCCCGATGGGGAAAAATTACTGAAAAGGTGGGTAAAGAAACAGGAAAAAAAACAGACACACACACAATTATAGAAAGAACAGCCATGTGGATTACTATTTCATCTAATCATGCTAGAAAAACTCTTTTCGAAAGATCTACGAGGGCTTTCACAATCCAGATGAAGTGAAAACATTACCTTCTAAGTGTCTGAATCTCCGGCTTCCTTACGATGAAATCGGCCTCTGCGCTCTGCGTAAGGGAGAACACAAACAAGTCAGCGTGAAATGGAATCAAAGCTATATGCTAGCCACATGCACTGCTTATCTTTGGAACGGTAGTTTTGTAATTCAGTAATTCGTGGCCTTGGCGTGTAAAGCGACTGTTTAATGTCTGCGGGGCACGTCAATTTGCCAGCCCGGTGGCCGCCACGTGCTCATTGTGCTGTTAGTCCAATTAGCAGGGCAGCCTAGCTAAGCAGATCCGGAATTAACAGTTACACGACACAGCAGCGGAACCCCTAATGATGAATGTCTATAAGAGGGGCAAGGAAATGAATCAGTTCAGGCGCTAACTGGTGGTGTCTATCCTCGTATAGCATGATTGCGTGCGCTTCAGACAGTTGGTGAAGTTTGTTGGAGGGGTTATGCTGGAATTCACTTATTATGCCAGGGGTGTCCAACTGCAGTTCGCTCAACCGTCCTTTAAGCTTAAAGAACCTGCTCTCCGTCAGGGAAACCGCGAGGACCCTTCCTGGTGTTTGTTCCTTGTCGCCTAACAGTGCCCTGTTTGAATCTGGTCT